CCAGTCTCTTAAGCTAAAAACTGGTCATCTTCTACCCACACCCTTTTAAGAATCATCCACCACAGTGAGTCTCAGGTAAGGAAGATGGAAAGTGGCCATTCACTGCTGACTAGTCACAGTGATAGAGGGGAGAAAGTTCTGCCATCCCTTCTAGACCATTGATTGTGGCCTTCGAGGTGACAGATGCATTCCTTACACTAGACCACAGCCAACAAAGAGGAACTGAAGGGTTTGATTCTAGGGGCAGGAGCTCATGGTAAAGGCACTGGCTGGAGTCAGCAGGCATTACTTGGCACCCTATGGAGGAAAGAGGAAGCAGGTGTGAACCTGAGAGGGTGGGGTTGTCTCTTCTTGAGATCACCCCCAGCCTCCTCTGCCTGTATATTTCAGTTGTCCAACCCATGTCAGCATGCTGTTAAACCACGCAAGTGAAGGTTGCTTGTAGCATGAATCTTAGAAGGTCTTATTAATAAAACCAAACCTGGGCCAGGTATTAGGGTGAACACTGGATGATCAGAGAAACAGAACAAGCCACAGCTACCTCACCTTGCCAATTCCTCAGCTGATTCTATTTCCTCAGACTGGATGCCTCTCAGCTGAACTGTGCTGCTCAAAAGCCTAAAAGCTTAACCAGCTCTAGTTCCTGGTTTTCACACCTTAAATACATTTCTGTTTTCTGCCATCACTTCCTGAGATTAAAGGCATGAGTCACCATGTCTGGCTGTTTCCAGTGTGGCCTTGAACTCACAGAAATCCGGATGGATCTCTGCCTCCAGAATGCTAGGATTAAAGGTATGTGTGCCACCATTTTCTAGCCTCTGTATCTAGTGGCTGTTCTGTTCTCTGACCCCAGAAAAGTTTATTAGGGTACACAATATTTTGGGGAACACAATACCACCACAGTTGCTTTTATGCAATTGACTCTAAAATCTTTGGAACCATCCAAGTGGACCCTGGCAGGAGGAAAGCTCCTTCCCTTCTTCCAGGTTCTCCTTCTTCTCAGACATATGGATGGTGGGTTCCATTTGTTGTTAAAATTCAGAAAAATGTTAAAGTCTGCAAGAAGTTCCAGCTTGGTAAATATGTCTACATGACACCTCTGCAGAAGTGCATCTGGCCACTCCTCCCCCCTCCCACCCCACACCCTCCTGAGGACTCAGAATCTGTTGTAGCTGGGGCCAAGGTAACAGCTCTCATCCCCCTTTCTGCCTACTCAGCCTGCTGTGACCAGATACTGTGGCTTGCAGCTTCTGGCCTGAGCTGCTAAGTGCTTTCTCTCTCTCTCTCTCTCTCTAAGCAGCAGGATGGGCCTGCTGGTCAGGCCTCCCTGGAAAAAAGCAGAAATAAATCAAACACCAGCTCCTACTTAAGATCTGATGAAATTCTCCATTTCCTCTCCAAATTGAATTCCTCCTGCAGGAAGGGAGCAGCTCCTGGGAGTCACAAAGGCCTTCCTTCTCTGCTGGAAGCATGTTTTAAATTAATGGACACAACATTCTTTTTTTTTTTATTTTAATTTTTATGTTCACTGGTATTTTTCCTGCACGAATGTCTGTGTGAAGATGTCAGATACCCTGAAACTGAAGTTACAGACAGACAGGAGCTGTCACGTGGGTGCTGGGAATTGAACCCGGGTCCTCTGCAGCCAGTGCTCTTAACTGTATTTCTAAATGTGCTCTTAACAGCTCTCCAGCCCCAAGGACTCAACATTTTAATCTGGCTGGGTGGGTCCTATTAAAGGACAGTCTAGAGGCTGTTTTCAGGTCGAGGGTGATACTTTTAGTGTCGAGTGTCACAAGCATCAGGCATCTAATGCACTTGGACTCTGTGGAGGATTGGCCTCTACTGTGCTGGTGGTCTCCTGGGAAGGATGACAAGCAGATCTGCTGAGGTCTGCCTGTCCCTGTGTATCACCCCACCCCACCCCCACACACCCCATGTACAGCAGAGAGAATGTGGCAGAGAATTTGAGAAGGGCTGTTACTTTGAAATTTAAAATATCAATCCTGCCTAACTCATATTTGGGAAAACAATAAATTCAGTGACTTATGTTTTGTTTTTTTTAAGCTTTGTTTTTAGTGTGAAGATGTTGGCAATGTGATTGTCCTCCCTGTGTGCTAATGGTAAATCAGCAATCTGGCATTTGTAGAGACAGCTGAACTCTCTTTCAGGGCATAAGAAAGCAGCCGTTTTCCAGGGTCTTTGTGCTAAGTGAAGCCTGAGCCAGCTGACTGGAGCTGAGAGTTCAGGACTCTACTGTGTACCTGGGCCTTGCACACCAAGAGCACGGAGTCTGGACATTCTGAGTGCTCCTCTGTTGTGAGGTGCTCACACGTGCTGACAGACCTGCTAACAGGGGATATTGACTGTTGATCCTCACAGTGAGTTGAGGTGTGTTGTTTTCTTTACCAGCTACTGAGGAAAGCAGATGTCTAAAATGTCTACCTGTCCTGAGGAATTCTGACATTTAGAGTCAGGAAAAAAGGAGGAACTTCTCCGTGAAGGAATGTTCTGGTCATCCTTTATGTGCAAGTTTGTTTTAATGCCCTCGAGAAAGGTTCTCCAACCTCACCCTGTTTTTAATTTACTTTTAAGAAAAAAGAAAAAAAACTCTCTTCCTCCTTAGGAAGAGGGCCCAATACAGCAGTTCTCAACCTGTGGGTCGTGACCCCGTAGGTGTTGAATGACCCTTTCACAGGGGTGGCCTAAGACCATTGGAAAACACAGATATTTATATTACGATTCATAACAGTAGCAAGATTACAGTTATAAAGTAGCAACAAAACAGTTTTATGGTTGGGGGTCACCACAACATGAGAACTGTATTAAAGGGCCTCAGCATTGAAACTCATGCAGGGCATTGGTAGTCACTGGAAGCTCCAGAGTCAGGACCCCACATGGACATGGATTTCAAGGGAGAGGCCTCTGATGATAACACCGTCATTGTAACAAGTTAGACACCCTTCCTTCTGATTCCTCCAGTCTGCCAGAGAATGTTACACTTCCTTCTTCCTCAAGGACAGTAGGAAGGAAATCGATGACTGTTGTCTGGGAAGAAAGGGCTGAGGGTAGGAAATGGGAACTTACGTTGGATTCCTCTAGATCTGCTCCAAGCCCATCCCCAAGGGACCCAGGCCTTGGAGGTGCTTCCTGAGTTCAGAGGGTGGGGAGGGAAGTCTAGTGGAGATGATTGAAGGATGGAATACGAGGCTTACCCACCACCGGGCCGCTCTCACCAATCCCTCCTGCCGTCTGGACTAGCCATTCACATGGGCCTTGACTGGGCCTCCAGTGGTACAAACCGTGCACCCCAGACAGTCCCCCTACAAGCCCACTCGTCCCCTTCTGAACTGTCCTGGCTTGAGCCAGGGTCAGCTGTCTAGTCTCTGCCCACATGGCCATCCATGGCTGTCACTCTGGCCACTGGACCCTTTCCGGGCAGGCTCATCTTTGACCCTCCTCATACAGTCTGAAGTTACTGTTTTGTTTTAGCGAAACGGTGCACCACTGCCAGCAGTATGTCTGGAATGTTATTTACTTTTGCATTTCTGTGGCTTTTCCTGTAGCATCACACTTGGCAGAGCCAGGGGTCATTCATTTGAGAATGCCAGGTTGTACTATTTTTTCTTTCTTGGTAAGATAAAGGGGAGGCTGGCTCCTGTGCCCGTAGGTTCCCTCCCTGCCTTCCTTCTTACAATCTTGTCTGAGCTAGTAACCTGCTCGACTCTTGGTGCCTGCTGCACCGCACCGCTTTGTCCTCAACTCTGCTTTTAATATGTGGGGTTTCTGTGGGCTTTCCGGAAAGCCTGGCAGATGCTTTTTCATTTGCGTGCCTACCCTGTTATTACTTCACATGAAAGCTGTCTATTTTGGCAGTCCTGACTCCTGCGATTGCAATTTGGTTCTCTGAGCTGAATGGGTGATATTGTGCAAGGGAAATATAGGTGGGGTTTTTCTCTAATGGTGGCTGCGGGGGTGCACCAGAAATCTGCACGCCACCATCTTGGCTTGTGCAGAGCTGACATGATGGCAAACAAATGGCTTTTGAGAGAAGGAACTGGTGTGTAGTTCCTTACTTTGAAAGTCCTCACAACTCACTTGCTTTAATTAGTGGTTTTGTTTTTAAGGAACAAATTCTTCATTAGGAAGAACATAAATGAGTTCTAAGTGCCGAAGGTGGAAGCAAAACAAAGATTCTGTTTGTCCCTCCTTTCTGACACCCGCTTCCTCCCCCTTCATCTACGCAGTTTTAATCGTGGTATTTGGAGTTACAGAAGAAGCTATGGAAAATGAGATTAGATGACTCCCCATCTGGTACCAGCCCTAGGGCTATTTGTACCCCTGGGAGGGTTAGTGCCCCTCCTTCAGTCTCATGATTCTCTTGTCACATGAGTTTGTAAGGGCCTGCAGCTTGCTTGCCGAGTCTTTGCTTTGTAGGCACAGGGCTCTTCTCTGGGCTACACAGAAGTCTCCTCACCCAGGGCACCTGTTTGGTCGTTAACTCCACAGTCAGCTCCAGTGTGAAATGGAAGATTTGGGGTTCTATTCTTTTTGGCTTTTCCTGGCCTTCCGCATGACTTCCTGATTTGCCTGTGAGCTGCTGGGATTTTTGCCTGAACAATCTTCTTTGATCACTCTCCTGACAGCATGGACTTCACATTCTCACACCTGTTCTTCTTTTACAGTCCAGATTTCATAGTAAACGTTTCCATTGCCTTGTAATTTTTTTTGGTATAAAACTTAGTGCAGGTTACTCATTACAGGTAATAGCAGCTCGATGACGAAGGCAACGCTGGCAGAGACAGCAACTTGAACAGCTGCCAGTAACGTAAACTGCCACTTGATTTAGGGCTAAAAGCATCGAAGCCACATCTGTCCATCATGACCTGGCATGCACACAGTAATAACAGACTCTGTGGGCTAAGAAGGCCGCCCCTCTGAGTAGCCACAAGGACAGGTGCTAACAGGACTCCACATGTTTTCTCTCCCATTATCTGCAGCCCACACATCATCTTCCTCTCTCAGAGCACCTTGACAGGCATGAGCCATCTCTGTGGGACCCGTCTCTGTCATGAAATTGCTCACGCCTGGTTTGGCCTAGCCATCGGGGCCCGAGACTGGACCGAGGAGTGGCTCAGCGAAGGGTTCGCCACTCACTTGGAAGATGTATTTTGGGCTGAAGCACAGCAGGTGGGTTCAAAGAATTTCCCTACCCAGAACCAAGTTCTGTTTTCATTCACTCATTCATTCAATAGTTATATGCTGAGTGCATTAGGCACTGTGTTTGCTGGATAGTTACTGTAAAAAGATGGCTCTGTCCCAGTATACAATCTAGAGATGGAGGGAACAGATAAACAAAAGAAACAACAATATGACAAGTGCTTTGAGAGCCCCACACAGAGTGGAGGGGACTGTTTGGCCAGGGAGTTAGAGAAGACCTGTTAAGGACATATTTGAGCAGAGGCCTGAAGAAAGGGTCAGATTCCTGCACGGCATAATACCCATGTTTTATGGTCATGGGAACATTAGCTGTGGATGTTTTGTTTTGTTTTGTCTTGAGACAGGGTCTTTCTACGTAGCTTCAGCTGGCCTGGAGCTCACTGTATAGACCAGGCTGGACTTGAACTTGTATGAGTATTCCTCCCTAGCTATGGGCTTTTTAAATAATATGATTTAAATATTAATCAGTGCTTGGGCTGCGGCTCATACCTGGAATCACAGCACTTGTGAGGCTGGTTAGGAAGATGGACAGGAGTTTTAGGCCAGTCCAGTCTATGATAAATTCCAGGCCAGCCAGTTCTAGATAACAAGACTTTGCCTCAACCTCCTTCTCTAAAAAGGAATGGAATTCTCTGGATGAAGGACAAGGCCTTAAGTAAGGTAACAAAATGGCATCTGCCACTCTGCTACAGTCGATTGTCATGTTTAAAGAGAGGTTCACTGAGGCTGGGACAGGTGTTTTAGGAACTCGGTATTTCTGTGTCCTTACGTGATGCTCACTAATTCAGAAAAGATGCTCTAGTCCAGGTGTGGTGGCTCACACTTGTGTTCCCAGCATGTTGGGGCTTGAGCAAGAGCATTGCCACAGCCTTGAGGCCACACTGGGCAATGTAGTGAGTTCTAGACTTGGAATTCCTCTCAGCTTGAGTGACTCCCTGTCATAAAACAAACACAAAAAGCAATTTTTTTCCTATCAAATGTAAAAATCAGGGGTAGAGAATGTAGCTCATTGGGCCATGCCTATGCTTATCCTGTAGGCTATAGGTTAAACCTGTAGATTCAAGAGCTGAGAATGTTTGCTCAGTGGTCATGCCTCTGCTTAGCCTACAGGCCTGGTTCAACCTCTAGGGTGAAAAGCACTGATTAAACACCCTTACACTGCCTCTACTCAAACCTTGACCACCAGTATCCTGAGCATGAGACTGAGGAACTGTTTCCTACTTTATCTCTACTTTGTAATCCCAGGATCACTTCTTTTCTACATGGTCCCCACCCTTGCTTTCCTGGCAAAGTTTTCCAAAACTCCTAAGTTTGTTCATATTGTTTGATTTTGTTTAAGAACATTCTGCCTGGTGAAGTCTTTGTGTTTCAGTGGCCAGCTTAAGGTCCCATCTCTGAAGCTCAAACTAACTTGTACCTTGCACCTCCCAACGCAGCTTTCCTGGACTCTGAAGTCCTGTAGCTTCTGCTGTGTGCTTGCCTTATTCTCACTACAGAAACAATGTCATCACACAGTGGGGCTTCATCTCGCTCGTCCTCCTGTCCTCTCCCCACATAGAGCTACCCAATTGATTGGAAGAGAGACAAGGTTCTGAGCTGGGCCCGGTTTTGAGTCCTGTCTCTTTTGCTCACTAGCTTTCTGAGTACAGGCAGGTTCTACAGCCTCAGTTTTCCCCTTGGGGAATGGGTATAGAAGACTCAAGTTCACAAAGCGGATGGGATAATGTGTAACTGAGCTTAACACATTCTAGACACATGGGAGCTGTGTGTGGAATGCATGTTCTCTTCTACCCTGCCCCCATCGGCATTCTGCAGGGGTAAATATCCAGTATGGCCTGTCATCATCTCTCCCCTGGCTTGTTCCCTCTCACGATGTGCAGACTGGTGACTCCTGCCCTCATTTCAGCCAGCCTGCAGTGTCTCTACCTTCACTGTGAAAGAGGAAGCTCCTCTTTTACCGCGTGTCCTGCCTGTGTTTGCGTCTTGCCTTGTCCTGAGCATGTCCCTACTAAGTGAAAGAAGCAGGTTGGGCTGCATCTCTCAGCTGCCTACATGCCTTCCATGTCCTTTCTGTGTTCAACCTATGGGAAAAGGTGAGGCTCAGTGGAAGGGGAGAGAGGAGGACTGAAACAGAGAGCAAGTGAGCACTAGGTACTGTGCACACTCAGAGGTGGGTGTGAGGCCAGAGACTTTAGGGAAAGCATACTGGGCTTTCTCAACCACTTCTATCCCCTTAACCTTCCATAGGGGTCACCTCACCTTCCCCAGTAGAAGCAGTAACTTCAACATACAAGAATACAAGGCCCCGCTAGGCAAACTGCCTTTTTAGAGTCCCCATAGAGTTTGGGAAGGTTTCTGGAGCAGGTTTGTCCTCCAAGGGCCAGCCTGATAAATGCCTTTTTCAGGTCTTCCTACAGGAGAGGGTCGTGAGGGCCAAGAGTGGTCCCGCTCCCTGGGCTGCAGAAGCTACAGTAGAGAAGAATGCAGTGGTGGCAGTGACCCACTGGAGACATGCACTGCAGCACTGAGCCCAAGAGCACAGCAAAGAACCAAGTATGAAGTCACAGAATGAGGAGGAAGCTGCACCCCCTCAGAGCAGTGGCCATGGGGAGAAGTGAGGAAGCCGCTAGGTGGGATAACATATGACCTTCATTGGCCGGATAAGTCTGTACTCCTTCCACACCTCTACTAATCTCCAGGAGGGAGGACTTAAATAGCAGCTCAAGAAGCCAACAGGATCCGGGGACAACAGAACTGACTTTCTGGGGTGACCTCTTCTCCCGCCTGTCTGATCACTGTCTCCTCACTCAAGTCTCACATGACCATTCTTCCATACGTGAGAGGGAGACAGAGCTCCAGCATCTTCCTCTTATAAGACCTGCACAGCCCTGAAGGTTCATGGCCCCCTCTAAAAGCTTCATTTAACCGTGATCACCTTTTGGAAAGTCTTGTCTCCAAGTGCATTCACATAAACTCACTCTTCAATGAGCATGTCTTGTAGAGCAACAGTCTATTGATCCCTGGCCCCTCTCCAACTCTGCCTTCCTGCATTGGTTGTCTGCTCCCAGCCCATCCATACTCCTCACCATTATCTAAGACACACACTCTTTCCAAGCCAGTGGTGCTCTCTCACTTCCCAAAGTCTCTGCCCCTGCAAGCTTAGGCATCATCGCCTACCCTGGGAAGTCTTTTGGCCCCTCACCTCCCCTGCTGACCAGGAGCTTCTTGAGCTGCACATTGCCCCAAGTCTGATATTGGTGCCCTCGAATACCACACTCCTCCTGGCAATGCAGTCTTCCATAATGACCCAGGGCCTACACGGAGGTTTGGTGAATGTATTATTAGAGACCAGTAACTTCTAAAAATGTCTGCAGATCCTGTGTTTCCCTCGCTACAGGGTACTCCACTGCCTGCCTTCTTTTATGGAGACCCCAGCCATGTGGCCTTGTGAGCATATGCATGTGACAGCAGCCAACTCCGTCTCTGTAGGGCAGTGTGATGGCCTCCCCTGCCTCCAAATTGAGTCCAGACAGTATACTTTCTTCTGGATCTATGCAAACAGAGTCATCTGGATTACATTAGCAGGCTCCACTATAAACAGTCCTTAACAAAATTGAGGGTTGGGAAAAATAAGAGGTAAGTGGAGGGGCCTTTCCCTTCCCCATGCAGAAACACAAGGCAGGGAAAGAAAGCTGGATGTAATCAAAAGAGAAATGTCCTTTGGAGAAGCCCCCTTTTCAGGTGTGTGTTCTGGACTGGAGCAGATCCAGGGCCAGGGACCCAGCAGACAGGGCTGCTGTACCTACCAGCACAAGGGTTTTGCAGTGCTTACTGGCTGCCCCTTTGAGGAGCTCAGAGGATCATTCAGCCCTCTTCTGTTGGAGAGCACCAGAAAGGAAGGCATGCCCAGTTGTCACCCAGTGGAACAGAGCAAGTCCCTTGCTGAGGAAAACCTGACCAACACAATGACTCTGCTTTGCACGTGTGTTTGTGTGTCTGTGTCCCTTGTAGCTGCCCTCTCAGGAGGCCCTGGAGCAGCAGGAGCTGAGGGCTTCCCTGCGCTGGCATCGCCTGCAGGATGAGCTGCGGAACTCCCCGGAGGAAATGCAGGTGTTGAGGTAAGGCACCGAAGCTCCCCTCCTCATCCTCCTCCTCCTCCTCCTCCTCCTCCTTCCTCCCACCCTCCTGATGGGCACATCCTTACTGGCTGACTAAATATACTGTTTCCTTTAAAATCTAGCAGGGCTTGGGTTCCTCTCCTTCCCAGGGACATGATCACTGTGTTTTAACTCTTCCAGGGTGTGGGTTTTGATTTGCCTTCTGACATGTTCCTGGTGTCTCTACTCAAGAAAAAAATAAAATAGCACAAGGGGCTAAATTCTTGGTTTGAAGTTCTAATAGTCACTTTATGTGGTGACTGTGGATGCGAAGAAGGTTAGGGTTCGGCAGTTTGGCAGGCAGTAACCCTTTAAAGCCAAAGAGGGGAAAATCTGTAAGAAAATATTGATTGCTGCGTTTAGTAGTAACAGATGTGCTGTCAATGGGGCCTTTTGTTCAGTTGTTGCCCAGCAGGAAGCCGCGGCTGCTCTCTGCACTCTCTGCTCCCGGGCGGGCCCGCTGGCTGGGCCGCTGTTCTCAAAGAACACAGGGCACTTGCAGGATGACTTGTTGCCGTTTTTTTTCCAGTTCCATCCTGGCTCCTTTGGTTCTCCTGTGCTATAAACCCTTATCTGAAGCCTCTTGCCTAGGCCCCAAGAGCACCAAGGTTGCTATGACAACAGAAGCTTCTATCCAGCCCCTGTTGAGGAGAATCCAGTTATTAGGAATCTCCAGTCAGTGGAAAGGGTGGCCAGTCTAGGAAATACCCCTTTCTCGACCCATTGTACATGGCACCTGAGAGCTACCTTATCCCTCTGGGCAGGGGCCTGCCTTGGGCACTTCTGCCAGTGATACACCCAACACGCACACACATACCCTCCCCACCCCCCATCCACCTGCCTGCACTGGGCCTGAACCATGCTGGGAGGCAAAACCCAGAGCAGAAACAGACCAAGCCTGGTAGAGCCAAGGGAGCAAGGCTGGCTGGTGCTTTTGTACAGTGCTGCTCTTGCCATGGCAGACTTCCTGCCTGCAAGCTAACTGGCCTCCCAGGATGACTCATCCATTGTTTTAGGAGAGACAACTAGAGCAATGGTAAAGCATAGCCAGCCCGGCAGCCAGAGCCCTGCCTTTCAGCCCAAGGCCACTGTGCCTATAACTGTTCCCTCAGCCAGCCTGGCTGCTCCTACAGTGTGGACATGGTGCCTGCTCTCAAAGAGCTTCCACTTAGCAGGGACAGTGTTACATGTCCAAGCCTGTTACAGATAGTAAGCAGTAATCCAACAGGCTCAGTCCATGATTTCTGAACTAACTGGAGGGCATCATGACTGAGTGAGGCATGTGCTTGGCTTGAAAGAGTGAGGAGCACAAAGGCTCTGAGGCTTGGAAGAGCCTTGTGCCTTGGGAGCAGAAATGGCAGAGCCGGTGAGTCCAGGGAGGTGTTGCCTCACGTTCCTCAGAAGCTAACTAGTCTCCATGCAAGGATCCTGAGCCTGCTCGTGTTTCCTGTGTAGAATGGGCTGCAGGCGGGCAGAGGATAGAGAGCAGAGGTGCAGTGCTGAGGGAGGGTCCTGGTGGAGCAGTGACCTGGTGGATGTGTGTCTTAGAGGCACGACTGACAGATTCCCATTGAGTGGAATGTGGCCACAAGGGCAGTGAGAGTACCCAGAAATGGCTGGGGCTTTGGGTAGATGGTGATGAAATTTATTTAAATGGAAGAACAGGTGTTAAAGATTCTGGCTGAGATGTTGAGTAGATACGTAGTCTAGGCAGGAGCTTGTAGGAAAGAGCATTCAGCCTGACCAGTACTCACTCCTATGAGCATACTTCAGTCACCCAGAAGAGGAAGAAGCAAGAAAAGTTGTCAGATAATACAGCAAAGGATCCTGAGAAAATTGCTGTGTATGTGGTGGAAACAGGGGTATCCAGGTCATAAGAGAAAGTGAAGAAGGTAAGAGCGGCTGGTATTGGATGCCACTGCGAAACATGACCTTTAGGTAGAACTGTGTGAAAGATGGCGGTGGCCTTGAATTCCATGTCTGTTTATATGTGGTAGAGAGGTGTAAAGAGTGATGCCCATGTGCAGAACTGGTCATGCTAGCTAGCTCAGAAAGCATCACTGGGGAGGCAATGTGGATCTTGCCAGAAGCTAAAGGCAAGCAGTGTGAACTGTAAATCCTTCATCCCTAGACTCAGTTTCTCAAACTGAAAGATCTTCTCTATTCTCCATGTTTATGTCTCTTGGTGGCTCTGGTTCTGCATGAGGTGATCCTTTGGTGTATGGAAGGACATCATCTTGACAAAATATGTCTCCAGCTCTTAAATGATTTGCACTGCATCCTCAGAAGCCACTTCTCACCCCTGTCCTCGGTGGAGCTGTGGTCAGCCCAGTTGCAGGAAGTGAAGTCTTTTCCATAGTGAGAAGAGTTGGGGAGCATTTTGGATGTTTGAACTAGAAGGTTTATTGTGGCTTTTATTTATTTTCCTTTGTCTGAATACTCAGAAACTGTCTTGGCCTAAATTTAGGCTGACTGAAAACAATGCATTTGAAGGACCCGCTGCAGATAGATACAGAGAATAGTCATCAGCTGCATGTGCAGTGAGGAGGAATTACATTATTAGGCTCAACTTACTCTTGGAGTTCTCCCTAAAATGGGTTCAGAAAACCTCAAGTTACTGACATGGAAATAAGAAAATTTGTTCTAAGATTGTGTTTTAATGTAGAAATAACCCTGAGAAAGAACTCCTTTAAAACAGTGCAGTGATAATAGATAGTGCCATTTTCTGTTTTTCCTTTTTTTTCTTTTGGGGGGGGGTTGTCAAGATTCTCCACCGTCTTGAAACACGGACCAAGAGCCATGTGAGCCTCAGAGACAGAATGTGTGTAGCATAACAGCTGTTGCTCTCTATTCTTCTATCACAGCCCTGCCCTCAATGGCATTTAAAAAAAAAAAAAAGCTTCAGACATCTTCAAATCAGAAGGCCACAGGTTGAAGTTCTGTTTATAGGCTGTACCAGTTGCTTCATCAAAGAAAATGGCATTTTGCTGGTTATAGATAGTAGAGTATTATAAAGTAAGAAGAGACAAACCAAAATTTGAGATTTCATTTTGTCATTATTGCATGCACAAATACCTGTGCCACAATGTGTGTGCCACTGTGCTATACCCCTAACATTTTTTTTTTAAATGTTGTTTGGGATCTTGAGTTTCATTAAGCTTCTCAAGCTGTCTTTGAATTGTGATCCTCCTGCCACACTTCTAAAGTGCTGGGATTGCCTATGTGTACCATCCTGCCCAGCAGTTTGAGCCTTCTATACTCCCAGTATTAAACCATGCATCTTATCCTGTGTGTCTTACATTGACTGTTGATGGATTTCATCAAATGAGTCTTTAACTGACTTCACTATGAATCTCGTTTGGGCTCCCACTGTTTCTTGTACATTCCTTCCTGGCTGGAGTCCTCTAAGGCACAACTACAGCTCCAGAAGCATGGTTACTTATTCTGGGTTGCAAATATTAGGTGTCATATCCCTAAATCCATGCACTTGTCAGTGGTTAAAGCTCTTTCTCCTTGCTGAGACATCATTGGCTCTCTCAGACTTACTCTCACCTGTCTACTAGCCCTAGACAGAATTGCCAACAGAAGTCTGATTTGATTTTTTTATTCCAGCAGTGCAGTACTAGCCAGATGCTAGGGGACTTCTGAAAGGTTTCCAGTCCCTCCACTCTCAGTATGGATCCTGAATCTTCTGTAGTGCTTTTAGTTAACATTTTCTGACAGGCCCCAAGGGATTGAAGAGCTCTAAGGGCAGGGTCAGAAGAAACCTCTGTTTTTGTTGTTGTTTGTTTGTTCATGATATTTTGCTGCTGCTTATTTGGGGGTTCATTGTTAAAGTCATACTCAAGCTGAGAAAGCATGCAATGCATCACATTAAGGAGGCATTGACAAGCAGGAGCCTGCTTGTTCTTAGCTTCTTCTAAGCTTTTTCTCTTAGTTGCTGCCTCCACAGTTGCTACAGTGCTAGACAGATGTAGGCATCCTTTCTACCTTCATGTGAATGCCTCTCCCAGTGACCACAGAAACACTATCCCCTGATAATGGCATGGGGGAGCACATTTGCAATTCTGTTCAGAGCTAAAGTGCAAGCCATTATGTTCTACAAAGTTGCATGGTGCCTCAGTTCCCAGCTTCTAATCTAAAGCCATAGAGCATGCTCACTAAAAATCTTCTCTTGTAATCCTCCATCATCCTGGAAGTTTTCTCCTCTCAGACTTTCTCAAAATTGGTATTTGTGATTTCTGAAGAATCTGGCAGGTTTTTCATGGTGTATGTGGATGTATCAATTGGCAACGACACAAGCCAGACTCAGAAAAACTCCCCTAAGATCCCCTGGCTACTGCTTCAGGTGGAGATGTGCCTTTTCAATGCCCCTCCCTCCTGCAGTTTGGGCGTGGCTTGGGCTAGAAGACACTCTTCCTCTCTGTCAGTAGGTTCTCATCTTTCCCATCATTGATTCCAGGCCAGCCTCATTCTCCCTCCCTCTCTTGCTTCCTGGCTCTCTAGGAAAACTGAACAGGCATGTACACGCTTCCTTTGACTGTACAGCATCTCTAGGTCCACATCTGCCCTGGCTTCCCAAGAGCCCACACGTCAGCCTATCTACTTTCATGAACTAGTTCTAGAGGCAGACTGGGGACGAATACACCTTGACCAACCACAGAAAAGCTGTGGCCCTGCGGCCCCCAGGGAAGAAGGGGAAAGAGGGTCTGGATGTGAATGGGGGAAGAAAGTTGTCACTGCTTTAGAAGGTGGACTGGGCACCATTTATCCTGTCAGAGAGGACAGGAAGTTCCCTGGAGGGCTCCTGCAGGGATAGCAGTGGCGATGCAGTCTAGAATCAGTTTACCTGGATTTAATTTTTGCTTTGTTTTTGTACTGGCTAGTTTTAAGTTCAACTTAACACGAGCTATAGACATTTGGGAGAGGGGAACCTCCCTTAACAAAATGCCTCCCTAGGG